TGTGTGTGTGTGTGTGTGTGTGTGTGTGTGTGTGTGTGTGTGTGTGTTTGAGGTAAATATCCCATTTAGGGCTGACTACTCAATAGTAGCTTACTATCAGGAGTTTGAAAAGTTATGAGTCTGCATTTACTGGTGACCACTGCAGAGAGAAATTTCTCTGGCCAAGACTGAGGGCAGCACTAATTTATGAATACAAACATCAACAGATAGAACGCAGTTTGACAATATAACCACTTAACAAAACAGCAGTAGGTTCTCTCTAAGTCTTAGGGCCCAAGAGGTATGACCTCTCCAATGGCTTTTGACAAAGTTTATGGCACCAGGCATAAACTAACTCCCGTAGAGCATGCTTCCAATCCAATCCAACCTTTGTGCTGCTGTTGCACATATCTTAAAAGGATTCAGGGTTGGCCACGGGTATAGCACTGTTAGCTTTTCTCTCTCCCCTTTAGCCACTGTAACTGCATAACACCTTTCAGCTCCAGCAAAGCTATCCAGCAGGGAGGTAAGTTCCGGCTGGATTTCTCTGTGTTCTAAAAAACAAAAGTATGCCATGCTTTCAGCAATAAGGACTTTCCATCTGGTTCTAGTAGGCAACCAAAAGCAATGGCAATAAGCCTATACTTTTGGGGGAGGCTTTGCAGCCTTTTCTGGCCAGTTACCCCCAGGGAAGTATCCCACCATTTTCTCAGACATATTTCTGAGGCTTGTGCCTCAATCCCTCTCATTTCCACCCCTTGCACTCTCTCATGCTCCAAATGTCTGGACACAAGCACTTCATGGAACCCTGGGTAGAGTCAGTGTTTCCTAATATCAATTCCATCTGGACTCTCCTTGAAGCAGAGTTACCTCAGAGCATGCAAGTGCCTACATGCTAAGGGGTTAATGATGCGCAGCTTCCATACTACAATCGGGAATATAAACATACTCTTAGTATGGAGGGCAAGGTTCGTGTACCCATTCTCCATCCCTTACTGTTTTCATGCTATCCTTAGTTCCACTTGGGGCTACCATCACCTGCGGATCTCTCCCGCTAGGGTCTGCTTGCTGGAGCAGCTCTTAACTGACAGACTCTACTACAGAATGAAGGCCAACAAAGGCACCTCAATGGGCACATCTCTCTGCCCTGAGAACCCAGAGCTGGTAGGAAGGACCTGCCCATTAAGGTCACCAGGAAGACCAGAAGAAAAGTGAAAACAATGGCAGGATTTTTGTATTGTAGAGGGTCCAACAAAAAGGGGTGCTTCAACCTTGAGAAGGCCTACACTGACTGGACACAATGGCTGCTAATGACCACATGCTTCTAGAATCTCTCTTTCCTTGAAATGGAAATGGTCTGTGGCAATCACTGATCTTCATACAACCCTGATCTTTTATTTCTCCATCTATGCTGTAGGAGAGCCCAGTGACCAACAGTGTCTCTATGGGCCCAGCAGGCCCGGCAGCAATACTGTGCTTAGCCTGCATGTGTTATTAAGGCTCTTCAGTTGGGTGCTTGTGAGAGGCTTCGTTCCTGCAGGGCAGATGGCCACTGTGACACCCCAAGACTGCCTCAACAGGGCAGGAAAAGGAGCTCCCACCTTTGGGTGGCTTCACAGCTTGCCCTGCTGGCCTGCCATCAAAGTGTCAAAGCAGCTTCTTCAAATGCTCCATTTTCTGGACTTGATCCAAGAAGCTGTTGGACACGGAGAAACTGTCAGTCACTTTCTCAGCTTCCTCCTCAAGAGTGTCTGCGTGTCAGGAAAGCTGTTATTAGGAATGTAAACATTGCAGACACACACAAGCGCGCAGAGATGCAATCCCTCTTCGCTATTGTTCAGTGTATTCTAAGGCAGAGGTGGTTCTCAGAGCACCCAGCCATCCTTCCTCCGAAGAGGTGGTGGAGATGCCGGGCAATGCT